AGTCAGCGCTCCCCTCCCCCTCCTCCGCACGGTAACGTAACGGTGACGCAACAGGATTGTTACGGTAGTAACAGCGGTTACTAGCAACACAGCGCCAGGCAACAAGGGTGCCTATTACGTGGCCGTTTTCCGTATTGTCCGATCAAGGCTACATAAGGAGCAGCGAAGGCTATTCACAGTTAGTTGTACTGTGACAGCCACCGAGTTGTACTGAGTCGGAGTCAGTTAGTCCTGGAGCTACCCACGAGTCAGTCCTCGAGCTACCTCGGAGTTAGTTCCGAGTTAGCCAGCAACCAGTCAGTTGTAACGTGGCCATCGCCGAAGATAGTTCCGAGCAAGCCTACGAGCGAGTGTGTTATCAACAGTTCTCCAGTCAGCCATATAGTATAGCAGCTGTCGCGGAAAGAAGGACAGGACGTGTGTGTAATTGTGTAATTGGGGGCGTGTGATACAGCGATACCTAGCTCCCCTACTATAAACGTGTAGACCACTGAAGACAGAGTGAACTGATTTGCGCATAGGGTTATAAATCGTGAAACCCCGCAACAGTGTTAACAGATTAATGCGATTAGGGTTATAAAGTGTGAAACCCCGCAACTGTATAATAATTAATTGTAGCCGTTAGTTGTAGATTGTTAAATAAACCAATTAACCATCTCTACGGCGTCTTCAGTAACGAAACACGTTACAATATATACAATTTACCATTTTACCATTCAGTGCCAAGGGATGTGATGGGTCTAGTTCTTTCGGCCTCACAGTACAAGTAACAATATATCAAAGTACTCAATTACAGAGACTTTGCGTTGTTTTTCTAAGTGTGTTATAGACATATGCAGAAGACTAATTTAATATACGCATTAAATAAGAACTGTTTACAGATGTGTGATGCAAGAAATTTGTAAGTTCTGTCCATCGGTTAAGTCCTATAGTTTATATTAAGAAAAAATTAGGCGAAGTACAGGTTGGCCGAGTACACTGATTAATAATACACACAGGGAAACAGGAAATTCACATGAAATTCTGATAAGAAAAAAATTAACTTTTTTGAAAAAGGAACAGATGACACATGAAGTAAAACGATCACTGTGGCCAAGAGGCCCGCCATGGATACGAACAGTTAAAATCTTGAAATCACTGGAAATGAGGGAACAGCTCCTTGCTCAGTGGGGCCAATACCTAAGGAAGTGCCCCATCTGCTGCCACTGGAGAGAAGTCACAGTGGGCCCAATAATTGGTAACAAAAAAAATTTTGCTCTGGCCGGGAATTGAACCCTCTTCGTCCGATCCGTCGCCACTGTGGGAATCACCACATTGAATCGAGCGCTAGCCAATCACAGGCAAGGAACAAGCCAATGCTAAGCAACGGCTGTTTACCGAGATGAGCTATACACGGCTCGATAATATATGAATTTGAATCAAGAAAATATTGATATTACAAGTAGCATTTAGGAGGTCACATCAAAGAAACCGGTAGGCTGGTTTGCACTTTCAGCGCAGCATTCTCAATCCACTGACATCAGGAAGAGAGACAAGATGTTCGCAGTCTAGAGATGAAGCCTCAGTAACTCTCACAACCAGAGAGAGAGAGAAAAAGCACTTTATTATAAATAAAGACGCAAAGAATGACAGGAGACAACCACGCCAGAGTGTCCATTCCGGTAGAGTGACGAGAACAGCTCGATGCAGACGGTGTCTTGAAAAAGAACAGCGACTTCTGACAAGTACAGATAAGAGGCGTTGCATTACGCTTATGGCAGCCATCACTGAAGTAATGCTTGTCTTGAAAACACAGACGGAGTGCAATGAATGCAGGGTCCATTACTGCTTCCCTTGTGACCGTCACCGTTTTCATTCTACAGTAAACTATGCCATTTTACCTCCAAGTGGCAGATAAAATGAAGCAGCTCCTGGCAGTAAGGAGAAGACCCATACTATATAATATTCTAAGAAGTCATTTAAATCTCCATTTATTATAATTAATATTAAGTATCCTACACATTTTATATTAAATAAAAACACTTTTATTTTATTTAACATATATCTTCCATACATCTCTACAGCTGTCTAAAATGTCACTTATCATCATACAACAGGCGAACATATTTCGTACAACAAACGATTAAAGATATTGCAGACAAAATGGCTGAAAAATATGGATGAAAGTAGAATGGAACTACGAAACTACAGGGAGAATTGTAAGAGTAAAAGTACGCAGACAGTGGAACGTTATTTTCAGACCGGTACAAGTTTTATGATGTAAAGCGACGTTTCGGAGTAACATGTCGCCTCCATTTTCAAGGCCAAAGAATAAGCCGAACAATAAGCCAGTATGAAGCAGGCTCTACTCGTTACCTGTTTATTCTTTGACCTGGAGATTGAGGCGAAATATTCCTCGGAAACGTCAGTTGACTTCCAACCGATTACACGACGCTGTATCTCTTCATAACGATCGCTATGAGAATCTCAAATCTTACATTTCATTTCTGGATGCCGAAGATGGAACATCGTGTAGATTCGCCAAACTTCTTGAAACATTGTGATGCGTACCTGTAATTATTGTAACTAACTTACCTTCCACATTATACCAGTGCTATTACTATTGCTGTTATTAAAAAGATAGGCCCAATAAAACCTATAGGTCATCTGAACGGAAGGAATTACTACAGTATATGGGAACCAGTTTCCTCCTTACAAATACGATAATTTGCCTCCACGTTACGTCTTTACGTTGTTCAAGGTATTGTAACAGTTGGGCATACAGATGTACGCAACATTGCACACTTAAAGATGCACTCTTAACGATATAGAATACCCAAGACTCGAACTTCTAGACTTCAGGAAACAAAGGTGGCTACAGTTCATCGCCATACAACAAAAGACCGTCTATTTATGGCTGTGCCATTCCTTTAACCGCATTCCAACGTTTTCTATTTAAATGTTATAAAAGGAGAGATGACTGGTCAGGATTCAAATTCCAGAGTTACAAATACTGTTTCCGAGGATATGTGTCTCCAGTAACAAACCATTTGGTACGTGTTCACTGGCCCCAGTGTGGCTACCGTACACGGTTATGTTTCTGTGCTAACAAAAGCCACAAACTGCTCAGATAATGCTGAATCCCAGACCGTTAACCAAACACGAAACTCTGATTAGATTAGCGTACTCATTAACCTCCACATGTCATCTGCCTTTTATCGGTCCAGTGTGTTATGAAATCAAATGACTACCGACTGGCCAGTCCCTGTATAGCCTACTAAACACATATACATCAAATTACCAATAGAAAATTGGTTATCAACTTAGGCCACCATGTCATGAAACATTTGGGATTTATGACAGAATTACAGTCCTTTTGGCCGAAGTTGATAGAATTAACATGCCGATGTTTGCACCTTGTTTTACGTTTACGTGTAGTAACATGGGCTTGAATTTGTACGTATGCATCCTATACGTACGTAAAAATTAAGGACCACGACTGTGATATTCCAAAGAGCAAACAGCGGTTTAATATTAAATAGCGAACTAGGTAACTCTGGTAACAGAAAGGAAAGGTTAAGCACGCTGAGCACATAAGCCTACCACTGGACCTACGCAGAGGCTCCTTAATCTACATGTCAACAACTCAACCTGTTCCCTAACCATTTCCATATTATGAATGAATTACTCGGTCAGAAAATCGGTTACTTCTGTAAAAATCTGGGGTTCCGATAACTGCAGTGAAAATAAAATTCTCTGTCATCACTTAGCTGCATATATCACCAAACGAAAAGTGCAGAAGTGTGGGTGCATGTAAATAAATGACACACTTCCATATCCAAGCTGAATTGAATACATGATATAACATTATGTATTGTAGTTGTGTAAACTGAATTTCTATGAGCATATATCCAGCGTACCGTTGCGCTCCAATATAATATTCCATAAAAAAATACATACAAACATAATTTCAATTATAAATGATAATTTTGCTTTTTTAAGTGGGCTAGTAATTAACCTTCAAAGGCTAGTGAAAAATGCCGTGTGGCTTCCCCCCCCCCCTTGGCACTACAGCCCCAGTGGGTCTAGGCCTACCTCCACGAACTTCTCCGTTCACTTCGGTTTTTCTAGATCTTACACATTTGGTAGGACAACTTGGGCGAGTGATCAGCTCGTCGCAAGGCCTCTACCTGTACACAAACACAGAAAAACGCACACACACACAAACTAAACATCCATGCCCTGAGTGGGATTCGAACCCACGATCCCGGTTTCCAAGCGAGCGAAGACGGTACATGCCTTAGACTGCTCGGCTACCGTGACCGGAGTGGCTTTTCTTTACACCATTTTTTTTTGTTGTGGCTTCGTCTTAAGGGCACAATTAGAAAGAAAATTAAGGGATTCTCTTGAGTTTTGGTCTGCGACAAGAAATTCCACCCGTAATATTCTCAAACAGCAAACGGAGATACAAAGATTGAAAAGCGAATTTCTATAGAACCGAGGTGTTTGAAGTCTACATGACTCAAAGCAAGAGGAAGGGCAAGTATTATTCAGATTAAAATACTTTCAAAACCAGAGAATGTTCGAAATGGCAATCCTTTCTCTCTGGTGTGAAAACCATTTAAAGTCCATCTGACATGTTATATTACAAAACGACCGGATACCTTGCACTCAGAAAGTAAGGGATGGGAAGATTATATGAGTGTCGCTTGTTATTTGGTAGGCAAGAGGTGCTAAAGATAGTTGTAATGCGGTAGAATTTCGGCAAGGGTTTTGTAAATTTTAAGTATTAAGCTATCTTCGGTTCACAGTTAGAGAAGTCAGGTGAAGGGTTAATGTTTGTAGTAGAATGCAGGAAGTAGCAATGTCAGTAGAAAATTGTCGCATTGCTTAGACTGCTGATTCACGCGGAACAGACGACAAACGGCCAAGGCGGACAGAGCCGACTCAGCGAGACCGCCTGAGGAGAGCCAACCTTCTCTCTACCGAGATGACCAACCAGGACGGACCTTTGGGGGAGAATTCGCTCAATTAAGGGGTGGAGCTTACCCCAAAGACAGGAGTCATCAGAGGAAAGGTTATAAAGAAGCTAACACGACTGGAGGAGCTATCTTTTTGATCAATCTTTTGATCCTTCTTTTGATCAATCAATCCGTGTATCAGAGTACAAATGTTAAGTGAGTAGCCAGCCAGAGGCCAAGAGGGCCAGAGCCATGGTCGTGCCAGACCAAGTGAGGGGACACCATCAGCTTCCTACATCAAGTAAGTGGAACTCTTCATATCAGTCATGGATATATAAAGTGATATTATTAAAGTGCTCTTAGGCCCTGAGTAGGAACGTAGGAACCCCGAGAGTTAGGATGGTGAACCCAAGTGCGTTTTCATCCAAATTACAATGTGTACGTAACCGACCACTGTCGGCTACGAAAGTGATATGGATATAAGTATATATATATTAGTAGACGAAAGTAGACAAAGTAAGAGGGATGCGTGTCTTAACGACTTACCCCACAGTCACACCCTCTATTTCCCCGATCTCCCGTACACCTCCCAAGTTAGCGAGACTGTGAACTCACAGCCAAGAGGTAGCTAACGAGACAAGTACAGGTGCTTAGCCTTGCAACTGGCCATTCCCCAAGGGCGCAACGGCATGGATGGCGGAAGAGGTGGAGCGAATCCTCCACGCCTCACTTCGCGCCATAACAATAGTACGTGTAGAATACATTACTGGTTTCATAAAGGCAGAAACAGTTATCGTTTTAACCAATAATTGTCGGTTAACCGAATTTACCTGGGTACATGTTGCAGACGAAAAATTTTAGATGGAATATTTTACCTTCTCTACTACTGGCTGTTTTAGATTGTAGTTCCGTAGCAAGCAAAAAAATTCTATTTCCTGCAAGCGGTGAATTAATGCGCGGAAATGAAAAAGATAAGCATCACCAACAAATGTGCAGGTCCATCAATTCACATATTGAGAAGTGTCACGAAGACTCCCTGCCCACTTCCGTGTCAGTATTTTCTGGAATTAAAAATGCAGAAATAAATAGGATCTCCTTACGGCGCATTTACTTTATAAACTTCATGAATACGACATAAAAACATTCGTTTATTTTAAGCACTATTCTTATCCGAAATTCAATGTTTCTTTGTGTTGTCATTCAAATTTTAAAACATCCTTTAGAACCTATTTTTATCCAAACCTATATAACTTTCAAATAAAAGAGTTACACCGCATAACAAATCAATCAAAATCATACTCTCCCCCTTCTTGACAATACATCAGCTTATGAAAACGCAATAAAATGTGCCATCGCATTTCTGTCAATAATCTTCGTAAAGCTAATAGACTCGCTAGAATATGTTACAATGACGAAAATGACGTATTGGAAATTGACTGGGCATTGCAGTTATTTCCGGTACAATACTAACTGGCGGCTGCATCCACATACCGCACATTACGGGCCTTCCATTTTACTTCCTAGTAACTAGGAGTAAATAAGGACTGTAAAGAAGTCAGTTTTTTAGTAACTTCAGCAAATCCCCATACAATAGGTACGTGGGTAAGTCAATAAGTAAGTTACAAATGGATATAGAACTTAAACAAATAAGAGTACTGATTTGAAAAATGCTTTTATTTCTCAACACAGTCTCCCTGTACATTGAGGCACTTGTCCCATCGTTTTACAAGCCCCTGAAAACCAGCAGCATAAAATTCTTTGGGCTGCTGTCGGAACCAGGCGGCGACTTCCCTTTCTACAGCTTCATCGTCGGGAAAATGTTCAGCCGAAAGATGATGTTTAAGAGAGCCGAACAAATGGAAGTCGCTTGGAGCAAGACTGTGACAATTCGGGCTAGCATATCGCGTCCTTCATCATGGTAGCGATCGAGATGCTGTAATGCCAGACCCATTCTTTGCATTTTGTGTTGTGGTGTCACCATGCGCGGCACCCATCTTGCATAGAGTTTGTGAAAACCTAACCTGTCATGTATTATGAGGTAGGCCATGCCGTGTGAACACGCCTGGTTCCGACAGCAGCCCAAAGAATTTTATGCTGCTGGTTTTCAGGGGCTTGTGAAACGATGGGACAAGAGTCTCAATGTACAGGGAGATTATGTTGAGAAATAAAAGCATTTTTGAAATCAGTGCTCTTATTTGTTAAGTTCTATATCCATTTGTAACTTACTTATTGACTTACCTACGTATTTTCCCATATTTTTTCAATCAGTACGAGTATGAATATTTTTAATTACAGTACGAATTACGAGTAAGTTTGCTGTTTTCTGCTGTGTGATGCCGTGCAGTTTGGTCGAAGCGGTGAAACGCGGGCGCACTTCCTCCAGTCGGCAAGGAATCACATCCCATACTCACTGCAGTGAGAACTGAAATCCTCGAAGAGTATGAATGTTTCCGTATTGTTTCGCTGGTGCTTTCCAGGCCAGGCTTCATTTCAGACAACTGCAATTTGGTTTCCGTGCATTCATTGTAAGAGAGACTGAAGGCATCTTCCGCAAAGCGCCACTTATAACTACCTTAACTTTTCCATGCTATGCACGATGTATCTCTCTTAACAACAATGATGGTTGTAGAATGGATTTATCTGGTGCTTGATACCCACCTTACTTACTTACTTACTTGCTTACTTATGGAGCTTAGCCCTTCTTGAGAAGCCAAATCTGCCGCTACTCAAGAATTTGCCAGCATTTTATGGAACCCGAAGGTTCATACCGTGTTCACAAGAACACACTAATGGTCCTTATCCTGAGCCAGATCAATCCAATTCATATCATCCCATCCTATCCCTCTAAGATCCATTTTAATATTGTCCACCCACCTACGCCTTGGTTTTCCCAGTGGTCTCTTTCCTTCTGGCTTTCCCACCAATATCCTATACGCATTCCTCGTCTCCCCCATTCGTGCTACATGCCCTGCCCACCTCATCCTCGTAGACTTGATCATTCTAATTATATTTGGAGAAGAGTACAAGTTATGAAGCTCCTCACCGTGCAGTTTTCTCCAACCTCCTGTCACTTCATCCTTCGTCGGTGCTTGATACCAGCGAAAGAAAACTCTCGTGCCATCTCGTAGCAGTTAGAAATAAGACCATTTGTCTCCTTAAAGACAAGGACTGTATCCGCCACAGAAATACAACGACAAAACAAAATTTTCTAAATGGAACCAAGGTTGTTCTTTTGCTGACGTTGTTAATCGACAACAATATTGACGAGTAGCTACTGTTTCTAAACCAGTATCTAGTCACTAGTCGTAAGCAAACACAAAATACAAAACATAAATCATATAAATGCGAATTATACAAGGTATATATGGAAGGTCTGACAGTAACCTTCACATAAACTCACGTCAATACCTACCTTGCTTGTATCCCTACTCACACATTGCACTTCATAACCGCAAAGCAGCCATCATCAGGTGTAAAATACAAACATATTAGAAATCCATACTGCAATGCAAAGTGATATAAAATATAAAAACATGTATAAAAATATGTAAAACGTATCTGCAGTCGAAACACGTTATGTGTGAGTAGGAATAATGGTAAGTAATGCAGTATAATGTAAGGCTACTCTCATATCTTGAATGGTGGACAAAAATGAGACGCAACATTACAAAAAATATAATCATACAATTTATGTCCACAGTTGTATATTTATGTGATGTGCAAATTTTAGATAACACTGAGTTAGGAGTATGGGTAAAAGTTTTTCTTTCATCGCTAACAAGTAACGACATTTTCCAAGTGCTGTGCTATGTAATGGACCGCCTCTGTGGTCTAGTGGTCAGAGGTCCGGGTTCGATTCAAGGCGCTACCAGATTTTCTGAGAAGTAGTGGATCTGGAACGAAGTCCACTCAGCCTCGTGATCATAAATGGAGAGCTATTTCAAGGAAATGGCGGCTCCGGTCTAGAAAACCGAAATTAACTGCCGTGGGAATTCGTTGCGCTGACCACGCGACACACTCTACCTGCTAATGTTGGCACTAACTTCGCTGTCAAGCAGCGGTCGCTCGGTCGGTATACTTCGATTGCGGACTAAAACCACGAAGTTTTTTGTCTTGTCTGTGCTACGTAATATCAACGAATTGGCCTTAGTTTGCAGTACTGGGAAGATTGGGGGTTAGAATAACACTAGAATCAAAACTTTATAATTTACATAGTTACAGGCCTACATCTTCGAAATATGTGCAGCATATATTAGTTTGGTCTTACTTACTTACTTACTTACTTACTTACTTACTTACTTACTNCACTGGGAAGATTGGGGGTTAGAACAACACTAGAATCAAAACTTTATAATTTATGTGGTTACAGGCCTACATCTTCGAAAGATGTGAAGCATATATTAGTTTGGTCTTACTTACTTACTTACTTACATACTCATGGAGCTGAGCCCTTCTGGAGGAGCCGCCAATTCTGCAGCTACCTCCCAGCATTTTATGGAACCCAAGGTTCATTACCGTGTTCACAAGAGCCCTCAACTGGTCCCTATCCTGAGCCAGATCAACCCAATCCATCCCATCCCATTCTGTCTAAAATCCATTTAAATATTGTCCACCCACGTACGTCTTGGTCTTCCTATAAGTCTCTTTCCTTCGGGCATTCCCACCAATATCTTATATGCATTCCTCGTCTCCCCCATTCGTGTTACATGCCCTACCCACCTCATCCTCCTTGACTTGATCATTCTAATTATTACTTGGAGAAGAGTACTATTAGTTTGGTCTAGAGCAGGGGTCTCCAAACTTTTCGAACCGCGGGCCACATTAGGTAATTCAGCACTTTCAACGGGCCGGATAAAATGAGAAATTAATAACTCGAGGTATATGAGTTTTATTGAAAGCGCAGAATTTCATAAACTAAATACAAAGTACGTGAGAATAAATTATCGTCTATTAATGACAACAGACAGTAGCAGCAAATGCTCATATTTTCATCACAAATTATAATAAAACAATTAATGTGAATGATGGAACTCTTTTTGCATTCTTAAAATCTGATTAAATTGAGGTTCAAATTTTGAAACGCTAATCACAAGTAGCGACTTTAAATGTTCATCGGATAAATTTGCCCTGTATTTCGACTTGATGTACTTCATCTGGGAAAAAGTTTGTTCACACAGATATGTCGTCCCAAAAATGGAGATAAATTTACAAGCAAATTTCTTTAAATTTGGAAATTGCTCAGAGTTCAGAAATTTATAAAATTCGATCAAATTTCCTTCCTTGTATTTGTCTTTAATATGA